TGTTCTTGTTCCATTCCTACTCTACTCTACTCTACTCTACTCTACTCTACTCTACTCTACACTACACTACACTCTACTCTATTCTATTCTGTGGCAGCCCTTCAAATATTGAACCACTGCTATCATGTCACTCCTAGTCCTCCTTTACACTAGACTAGCCATATCCAATTCCTGCAACCATTGTTCATATGCTTTAGTCTGCAGGCCCTTATTTTATATACATGCACAAGTCTTGTTTGGATTCTCACCTGTCGTCTTGTGTTAGAGCATCTTTCACATCACTGGATCGACTTAAATGCAAATGATCTGATTCCTTCTGAAGTGCTGTATGGCTAAGCCATGTGCCCGTGAATCTTGTTGATCTCTACATTTGATTGGGGGGAAAAGTGGAAGGGGGAAATTAGATCTGGTGGGTTATGAACGAAACATTTAGTTCTGAATTCTGTTATTTCAGGCCAATCATGGTTACCAAAATTAGGCCCAGAGAAAGGGACATTAGAATGATTGAGTTTCAACCAGGTTAGCAACCTGAACCATGATCAGTGGTGGTATTCTACCGGTTCAGCCTGGTTCGCCTGAACCGGTCACTCCAACGATCATCTGTGAGTGAACTGGTTCGCTCTGATGATTAGCTTCTGGGCCCTCCCACCTGTTCTGACTCTATTCTGATCCTTATTTCCTGCTTTTCAACCTCTGCTGCTTCGCATGGCACAGCCAATTGCCACACATCAGCTGTAAGATGGCTTCTGCACAGTGATGGCTTGTAGTGGGTTTACTTACTCTACATGAAACATGGCATTTATACATGGGGGCATCTTATAGATGGGAAAAATGTGGCATATCATTGTATATTCGATTTGAACATTTGGCGTCAGACGCAAAGAATCAGGACCCTACGTTAAGTGGGCAGTTCAGAATATTCATTGTTCATGCCTACCCACAAGAATCTAGCCAGTTAAAGTTCAACACTAAATTGGCGCCAGGTAAGGGTCAATGGAATTCAGGGAGGAGTTGGATTCGGACTGTTTGTGGCAACGTAACGATTCTAGGCTGATGACTTGTTTGACTCCCCCTCCCAGTTCTGCCTGCTCTTCTCCCACATTCAATGGTGATTCCATTAAACCTCCAGGTGGATGGAATTTCAAAAGTCTGTTGACTCAATGGTTTCAATCAAACAGTGCTTTCCCAGCAATCTTTTCCGGGTACGTGGTGCCCAGGTTCCACCCTTTTGCCAGCCGTGTGATCCTTTTGGCTGGACTTCCTCTGCTTTGTTCAACGCCAGCACGCAAAGTTCATCTCTGTAAGTTTGCACTGGGCTGGTGGCCTTTCACTAATTAAATTTCATTAGAAAGCCTCCTGGGATTTTTGGTTTTTTTTTTTTTTTATTATCCCTCACCGAGGATACACGAGCACATTATGATTCCTCCTCTCTCCCACCTCCTCCTGAAATGTTAATTAGATGAAGGACATGCTAGATTTGAAGGGAGAGGGAACTGCCTTGCAAACCTATAAAGTAAGCAGATTGATTTAATTTTAATCTGTTTTCATGGTGATGCATATTGATAACAGGTTTCTGTCTCTCAGGACTGGAAAAACCATAGACCATAATAAGAATTTGAAGGTACATTATACAGTTTTAAATAGCTTATGTTTTGCTGGGCCACTTTCTTGCAAACTAATACTGAATCTGCTAGGAGAATCAGGGACTTAGAGTTGTTTTCCATTTCGACGTACAATGAATAAAGCCGATAAGATTATTTGAAGAAGAGTTTGGAAATCAAAAATCAAGATAAGTCCATCCCAGAGCTGAGATTCATTTGTTCATTTCCAGTCTCCTATTCTATGATTGACATCCTGCTTTTTCATAGAAAGCCATAGCTTTTCAACACGCCCAGGGCTGAATTTTGACAATCTGTGTGAGTTTATCCTTCACAACAAATGTTACCTCTTTTAGCTAGCTCAGTCCTGTTTCTTGTCTCGCCTTCTGGTGCTTTGGAGAATAGGTGGACCCATTCTTCACTGTGGCAGCCCCTCAAATATTGGAAGACTGCTCTCATGTCACCCCTAGCCCTTCTTTTCATTAAACTAGACATACCCAGTTCCTGCAACCGTTCATCATATTTTATCCTCCAGTGCCCTAATCATGTTTGTTGCTCTTCTCTGCACTTTTTCCAAAGTCTCAACAGTGAATAAAGCCGATTAAGACTATCTTTTGTAATGTGGCGATACAAAAGATGATACTAGAGGTTAGTTAAGTCTCTTAGCCTTTTCCAAAGCTGGAATTTGCAGACTAGAGAACAAGCAAAGAGTCTGGTGACATTGGCGCTCTGATTTAATTTACATTCACTGGGCCCATCTGGAGTGTCAAACCGATTTGGCCAAAGTGAATTGATGGATTGACATGGTTCATTAAATCTGTTTGAAACAGTCTGGATTGACCTCAGGCCAGTATGCTTGTTTTTTTTTTTTTGTTATTGTTTGTTTTTGCTTGATGGGCTTTCACTGTATTAGGTCCGAAGCAGTTTATTAATAAAGCAGGATCGGTTTTTCCAAACAGATTCGAATAATTGGCTCACATTTAGTTGACTTTCTGAATCCATTTGAACGGGAGAATTGAAGGCCTTTGATTTGGACGGAAATGAAGTGGAGAAAACTTTAGCGTGTTCTTCAACCTATTTCCCCATGTCCTTCAGCTGCTTTGATCTTCTCTCCTGCTCCCCCCCTGAAATAATTTTTCAAAGAAAGTCAAGTCAAATCGTCCCCCCCCCCCCCCCCCCCCAAAAAAAAGAAAGAAAGACAGGAGTCTCTGATGGTTAAGAAAAAAGCAGACAGCTGAACTCAACTGAGAACACAACTGGCCCTTAGTGATGTTTTTGCACTCTTTTTGTCTTTGCCACCCAGCTGTTCCACTTTTCACAACACTTAAGTGACAATTTCACAGCCATTACCAGCCTGCAGTAATGATGGGCTGGGTGATTGTGTGTGAACCGGTTGTAAACTATGAAATACAGGGAGAAAGCCACAGGCAGCTGTTAAAACAAACATTGGGAATAAATAGATTACTAAAAGCTTGCATTTTTTAATGGCACAGTCTGAAGCCTTCTTAGCACCCCAGTAAACATGGTATTTAGTGGAAGAATTTATTTTTATTTATTTTATTTTGTCAAGTGATTATAAGATTACAGGTATAAGTATATAGTTATGAGTACATGAAATGGATAGATATAACAAAAATAAAAAAGAAACAATAGGACAGGGACGGTAGGCACATTGGTGCGCTTATGCACGCCCCCTATAGACCTCTTAGGAAAGGGGTGAAGTCAATAGTAGACAGTCTAAGGTTAAAGTTTTGGGGGTTTGGGGAAGAAACCACAGAGTCAGGTAGAGTATTCTATTGTTAATAGTAGAGTATTCTATTGTTAATACAAAACTATGATTCTTGGTGGTTCAGCTTCACTTTTCCTCACAGCCACAGATTTAAGTTTTAGGATGAGTCTTGGTCCTGGAGATAAGTTTTGCCAATGAGTTTGCTTTTTGGGATGACTCAACGCTTTTCCATGTTGTTTACTCCAGAAAAGAAGTTCAAACAAATAATACTCATGCAAATGATCCTCTTGACTTATAACCATTTGTTTAGCGAACGTTTGGAATTACAACGGTGTTGAAAAAGGGGTCAACTGGCCAGCCATTTTGATTTGGACACGTGGCATCCTTGGTGCTCTTTGAGCCTAATCAAAGAATCACCAAGTACCCTCCCATCAACACCAACAGGGCAAGCCACTTGTCTACAGTTGGGTTGTAAAATGTCTGCAAGAAATCAGCTAAGCTGGGAGGGAGGGAGGGAGGGAGGAAGGAAGGAAGGAAGATAAATGGATGGGGAGGGAGGGAGGGACAGGGAAGAAGTGGATGGGTAGGGAGAAAGGAAGGAAGGAAGGAAGGAAGGAAGGAAGGAAGGAAGGAAGGAAGGAAGGAAGGAAGGAAGGAAG